GCGGTCTAAGCCTTGGCGGTCTAAGTGCCTGCCTGGCAGGCACAAGGACTGGAGTTTGATCCCCAGTACCCCATGTCATGCTGGCCCCAGATCTCTGGGCGCAGCGGCTCATGCCTGTAATCCCAGCGCTGAGGAGGCTGAGATAAGAGGATCACTATGAGTCTGAACTGCATAGTGAGACCCTATAATTAATTAATTAATTATTTTAAAGTTTGAGGTCAGTCTGGGCTACATAGCAAGACTCTGCCTCAAAATAAGAGAGAGAGAAAGAGAAAAGAAAAGACCAGAAGAGAGGGAGGCTAGGATGTGGCTTGGTGGTATGGAACTGAGAGATTGGAGGAAAACAAGACAGCACAGGAGAGAGACCAGGAGGGACAGGCGCGCGCACACACACCCTTTGCCTCTTGCCATGTGATGCCCTGCATGGCCCGGGGACTTGGCCAGCAGAAAAGCCATTTCCAGATGTGGGCCCTGGCCCTGGCCCAGGTTCTGAGCCCAGAGTAACACCCGTCCTGATGCCTCACCCTGCCTTGGCTGTGCTGGTGGAGTCACTGAAGTGCAGCCCACAGCAGGGCTGGGATCCAACCCAGAGCCGCTCCTAGCCAGGTGCCCTGGTCCTCTGTCCTCTTGTGCACCCCAAGACCCCACCCCAGACTCATGCACTGACCCCTGCCCTTGTCCCCAGTGCTGAGGAGCAGAGAGGCTTGGGGAGCCCCCACTCAGGAGGCCCCAGAATGGTCTCCAGCCTCCTGGCCCTGCGCCATCCCCACCCCAGTGTGGGGCCCTTGGCAGGAGGAACCTGAGGAGGAGAAGTGTGTGGAACCGGCCCAGCTTTCTCATGGTCACCAGCGCTGGGGGAAGGGGCCCTGCTGCTGCGGAGAGGCCTTCCAGATGCGATCTGGGCGGGCTCAGGCCCTCGCAGCTGCAGGGTGCATGGATGGGGAGGCCCGGACTGCAGCCTCCAGCCTCGGCCTTGTCCACACCAGATGCAGACTCAGTCCCTGGATCCTGGGATGGAGGCCGGTTGCTCAGCACAAGTGCTCCACCTCGCAGAAGGGCAGATGGCGCGCCACAAGGGGCAGTCGCTGAACCAAGCGCAGGACAGAGAGTTAGTAAGGAGAGCTCAGGTGCGGTGCAGTCTCGGCTGATGGCGCACACCGGTTACCCCAGCTACTCAGGAGGCCGAGGCAAGAGGACTGAAAAATTCAAGGCCAGCCTGGGTAACTTAGTAGTGAGACACTGTCTCAAAAGAAATTTGTAGAGGCCAGTCTAGGCTACATAGTGAGTGTAAGGCCAGCCTGAACTATGTAACAGGACCCCATCTCAAAAACAAAGCAAAACAGATTATTATTATTATTATTATTATTATTATTCAATAACAGGGATCAAATTCAGTACCTCACACTTGCCAGCAGGTGCTTATGAGCTATCTCCCCAGCCCCATTATTATTATTATTATTATTATTATTATTATTGTATTTTAGGGCAGGGTCTACAGGCT